ATTTCCGCCTTTTGGCCGTACGTTCACTTTTAGTATGGTTTCCACGCAATCCTTTATAAATGAGACCCCAGGCCCTTAAATGTCACTGCACCTCAAACAGGAATGCCACTGTCAAGGAAATAACAGAATGGGCTCAGGAATACTTCCAGAAAGCATAGTCAGTGAACACAATCCACCATGCCATCCGCCGTTGCCAGCTGAAACTCTACAGTGCAAAGAGGAAGCCATTTCTAAGCAAGCTCCACGAGCTCAGACGTTTGCACCGGGCCAGGGGTCTTTTAAAATGGAGTGTGGCAAAATGGAAGACTATTCTGTGGTCAGATGAGTCACGATTTTAAGTTCTTTATGGAACATAAACATTTTTCAACAAGATAATGCCAGACCACATTCTGCAGCAATCACAACATCATGGCTATGTAGGAGAAGGATCCGGGTACTGAAATGGCCAACCTGCAGTCCAGATCTTTCACCTATAGAGAACATTTGGCTCATCATAAAGAGGAAGGTGTGACAAAGAAGGCTGAAGATGACTGAACAGATAAGAGGCCTGTATTAGATATGAATGGGAGAGCATTCCTATTTCTRAACTTGAGAAACTGGTCTCCTCTGTCCCCAGACGTCTGTGTTGTAAGAAGGGGGGATGCCACACAGTGGTAAAAATTGGCCTTATCCCAACTTTTATGGGATTTGTTGACACCATGAAATTTWGAAACATACTTTCCCCTTAAAATGATACATTCTCTCAGTTTAAACTTTTGAGCTGTGATTTGTGTTCTATTCTGAATAAAATATTAKATGTTGGCACCTCCACATCTTTGCGTTCGGTTTTTATTCACAATTTGTTTAGTGTCCCAACTTTTTTTTGGAATCTGCTTTGTATATTTAATATAAAGTTAGGTTTTAGAGACCAAAGTYTCTGGTAGCTCAGGAGCAAAGTGCAGGAGGAGATGTCAGGACTGATCGCTGCAGCTGCTGCTTCCACTGTCTCTGCTGATAACTGCTGTGACTGAAAGCCCCGCCCTGCTCTGCTCTGATTGAATAAAACAGCTCTGGAGTTTGTCTGATTCGTTGAAAGCAGTGTCCATTTAATCCTTATACATCAGGGTCCCGCTGCCCTCCTCTCGCAGAACAATGATCCAGTCGCACCAGTGAGGCTGGATTTTTGTTAGTTTGTTTTGTTTGTTTTCAATAAATCAGGTTGCATTTGTGACCCTGATAGCTGTTGTTTTCACAATTTCAGGTTCAATCTTAGGCACACAAGGGAGCTTTATGACATTCCATCTGGTGCCCTTTTTCTTTTTTTTGGTCGCGCATGAGCACCTGCGCACCACTTATGTGCAACTCTGTCTATAGCACATACAACCACAGACAGCAAAACACTTTTTTACATCATTATTGCCCACCATTAAAATGCATAGATGGAAAAAAGTATGTACAGCATGTAAAAGATCAAAGTGTTATCTGATTAAATACGGGACAATGTAATGTAAAAAAAGAGAGAGGAAAATAGTATTTTTATGCAGTGTATGTAAGTTTATTTGTTTATTTGTAATGTGCAGTTAAATGGTTTTTCAGGTTGATTGGTGTTGTTAATATTTACTTATTTATGCTTTAAATACTAGATTGTCATCAAATTAAATAAGATTCATGAAACACTTGAGTAACATAAACATATAAAGTAGGTACATCACCTCATTCAAACCATTTTAAAAAGCTGGGCAATCACCCAGTTTACACTATTCATATTGCTGCTGATTTGATGTGACTGTTCCAAATTTTAATAATAATTTCATGTGATATTATTTTCCWACACTCAAAAAACATCTTTACACCCAGACTCCAATTCAAACTTGACAAAAACCTCTCCACACTCTGGACGACTTACACAGTTTATGAAAAATGTGTCTGCGTTGCAACAAATTAGGACAATTCCTTTAATATGAAGTCAGTCATGCTTTTAATAGTCRCAAGATAGCTTTTTCTGCTGTTTTMTGTGTACCTGAGATACTCTCCTGCYCCTTCAWAATGCAATGATAAAGTAGTCTGTTTAATTAATGCAGTTTCAGTAGTCAGAATAAAATTTTGCATATTAGGTGCTTTTGATTCAGCTGTTTGTAACAAAGTTTCAGATTTTGGAAGTATTTAAAACCAATTTTATGGAAAGGAGGCCATTTCCTTTTGTTCTGGTGAGCCGACCATCATGAAACTTGGCACTTTTTAGGAACTAGCGAAAGCATGAGGAGCCTCWCTAGTGTAATCTTGAATGCATCACTATTTTAATACACATATGAAATTTGGGACATGTTGTACTGTGTCTCTTGGCACCATATTGTAAAACTTACATGAAGTTCACTATTTTAAAARAAAAGCAATTTTTAGTGATCATTGTATCACTCCATCCGTATKTTGTCTTTAAATTTGATTGTATTGACTTAAGATCTGTGCACCAAAAGTTATGAGTTTGTCAAAACTCATAACAATGTGAATATGGAACTTTTTCAAACCCACCTGTTTCGCCTTCAAACAAGACTTAGGGAGGATTGTCCCTGTAAATTGTCTAAACTATGCAAAATGTACTTGAGAGATAGGCATCCAGTAATAAAATGGAGTGGGATTTATGCTTGAAGCTCTCTATTAAAAGGATCCTCACAGGTTGAGTGGCTAAGTAGCGGAGCTTTGAGCTATCAGCCTGTCACTGAAGGTTTTAACACAAYCATTGACATTCTTTGCTTATAATACAAAATGTAACTGCTTCCACTTGTTTTCTGTCGGAGCTATTCTTCATGTTGTTTCTGTTTTGGATGTGTCTTTAATTTAAAGCCAAACTAATTTCTTGTTTCTAAACCCGACTGCAGATCTTCCTGAAAAGTGACAGGGTGTCCCGGATGGTACAGAGTGGTGGCTTCTCAGCCAGTGACTCTCGGGAGGTTTTTAAGAAGCACATAGAGAAGCGGGTGCGTAGTCTGCCAGAGATCGATGGCCTCAGCAAAGAGACAGTGCTTAGCTCCTGGATAGCGAAATTTGACACCATTTATCGTGGCGAAGAAGACCCCAGAAAGCATCAGCAGAGACTGACAGCAAGCGCAGCCTCTGAGCTCATCCTCAGCAAGGATCAGTTGTATGAGATGTTCCAGCAGATCCTGGGAGTAAAGAAGTTTGAGCACCAGCTCCTCTATAATGCCTGCCAGGTTAGTATATGACAATATCTACTTATTTACTTTTAGCCAAATACTTTCTATAAACATGCATTTGTACTTTATTTAAACTTAAATTTTATTTAACCTTTGTCAGGATTGGTTGAGATTGATTAAATCAGGGGTGATCAGTTGCGAAAACATTTTTTTTGTTTAATGCTTAGCATTGTTTTTGTGTCTGCATTCTCTCAATGTACCGTACTAGCATTTAAACCATTCTTTTAAAAAACAACAAATGAAAGAAAAGAACATTTTTCTGTCAGTCATCTGTCAGGGGAGGCTTATTGTTACTCAAAAATTTATAATGTAAGAGTGGCCTTGTCCAAAATGCAGACCTTGGAACATGATTACACAATAGAGCACAAATGCTATGAGTCAGATTTCCTCTGAAATGGCTCTTCAATGGTGCTTCAATAATACTCCTTTTTAAACTAACATCTCTGAACTACCAAGTCRGTTGAGTTGGAAAAGCGAAYGCGCTCGTGCTTCACAAAGACACAGCTGGCTCTCCAAGGAGGAGAACCAGTGTTTGGCTGTGAGGTTTGGCCCATTGAGTCAAAGGGAACTTCTCAGCCCAGACCAGACCAACACTCGGTCTTGTCTATTATTTTAAGCTTACAAAGTTACTCACAGAGAAACTTTTGTTTTGAAACTTCCATAGCGGAAGTTTTCTATTTTGAGAAGGATACAGAGAAGTGCCTCGTCTCTGATCTTCGAGTAAAAGCAGCCCAGAAGACGCTGAAGGAGTAACGTAAAGCACCTGGAAAGTGTTGGAGGGGATGAGGCTCCGAGAAGTTCTTCACCAACTGGACGATCTTTCCTCTGGCTTGAGCCATGGTGGGTGAAACTATCCCCRTTCAAGGTAATGGCTGTTTGTTACTGAGAGTACCTGAGGCCTGGCTGGATCCGTTGAGAGACGTATGCCCTTTCTGGTTAAAATCCACATTCCTCAAAGGATAAAGTTAAAACTAATCCTCTTCCTTTCATTATCCTCCTTTATTTCATCTTCTTTCATCCTCCTTTCATTCATCTGAAAACGGAGGCCTCCACCTCTGTTTAATTAAACAGAGGTGGAGGCCTCCGTTTTCAGTTGTCCCCCTCCTACAGTGYTGCCATTGCCAGTATCACTCCACTCCCTGTTAACAATAGGTGTTATTTAGGTGTCAACGATAGCCATGTGATGTTAGTATCAGTCACATGGAGGCAGGGCTTAAAAGCCTGAATTTTGCCTGAAACTCTCAGACTGAAGAAGTCTCTTGGAGGAGAGACGAAACGTTTCWTTGGAGAAGAACCCGTCCAGAAGACCTATACAATTTTTTTTCGTTTAGATTTTTTACCTGGATTACTGAGATGCATCAAGACATTCAGTGAGTTTCGATTCGATCCAGCAATAAATGTGATAATTTATTTACACAAACGAAATCGCTACAGTACACTCAATTGTGAGCAATCAAWTTCCTATAAAAGTTAAGAACCAAGATAACAAGCAYGCTTTGAGCTTCATTAATTGTCAATCAAGGACTTAAATAGAACATCAAACATCCAGCTAGATGTTGAATACCAGACATTTGAGGCAAATAACTTAAGTTGGCAAGGCAGGTTTAAGGAAAGGAGAAAAAGTAAGATATTAGTTAGCTCATAACTTATAATCTTATCTTTAATAATATGGGCAACCAGAGGCAAGGCATCTGTCTCTCGACGTCCGTCAGATCAGCAACACCTAGTAACAAAGCCAGCGTTACCTGTGAGATGACCGTCGAGTCATGATTCAGGTAATAAGGGAGGTCGAACAGTGAGCAAGACAACTTCCCAGTTCCTTACTCTCTTGGACCGTCCAGGCACGRGTTACTCTTTCAGCACCAGCTTAATCCACGTCAGCCACAGKGGAGGAATGAAGCCAAACKGGATCCCGGCTCYAAAATAAACCTTCCGGCAGGAAGATTTTAAAACAAATTGCTGTGGAGAGCGTTTAAGCTCTTGTTTGGCTCACACTGAGTGGTGGTGTTTGCCCGGCCGTGTGGTTCCCCACTGGCAATAAAGGGTAGAACCAACACAGCTTAAGCTCTGGTTCTCCGTCCGGAAAACCCAGCTTTTAGTGTTGACGGAACGAGGTCTGTCTCCCTCTACTCCTCATGCGGAAACTGTTAGTTACTAAAGAATTGGGGTGAGATTAGTAAATAGATAAGGAAAGTGTTAGAAGAAGTTGCCAAGGCTAGACTTATCTTAACATAATTATTGCTTCTGTGTAGTTCAGAAACAAAACATATCATGACCTGTTTAGTTATTTTCTGATTAGATCTCTTTAAAAATATGTATAACTGAAAGAATTAATTACTTCAAACTCAAAACATATGATTCATACATTAAAACATTGATGTTTCATCAACTTAAACCACAATAATTAGTTAAGTTAAATAAGATATTTACACAGAAAGATCCATATTATAGCTGAAATCATACTGAGGGAGAAAAGAGATCTGTCCTCTCTTCTCCTGTAACCTTGATAAACATTGTTTCATGATTATCAAAATGCGTAATAACTTTTAGTTAGGAGAACAATAAATCAATAAAAAGAAGATTATTCTGTTCATTATCTGATTAAGAAAAGGATAATGTCTCTTTAACAACTTAAGGTGACCGGTCATGGCCTAAATTCAGTTCTAAGTGGAACAGAATTCTGACTCTTTAGAGGGCCCRTCAGAGGTCTCAGGTCYGAGACAGTTTCCTTGATTATTCCSTACACAAGTAAAATATTTGTTGATGGAAAACAAAACAAAACAAAACAAACAAACAAACAAACAAAAAAAACCCCACCAGGTATCGGATTTCTAAAGCTTGTGTACGTACAAAACGAGCCCAGAAACTTGTGTACGCCACTTTTCAYGCAAAGGTTRTGATTTATAAAACCCAAACATGATGTGAAAATGTGCGGTGCCTCACGCCAGCTCTGACCCATGTGTACGCTCATTTTGGAGACATGAAGCTGCGACACAGATGGTGAAGTGAGGAATTATAGCCACACTGCATCATGATGACTCTGATATTTAATTTCACTTCATAATCAGACTTAGATTTTTATTCAACTTTATCATCAGCTTTCTTAACAGTATCATTTATGCTTCTGTTGGGCYCTCATGCATAAAGGAGTGTGCAGCTTTCACACTAAAATTTGGCRTATGGACAAATTTAGAAAAGTGCGCCACACAAAAAAATCATATGTATAAAACTGTGCACACGCAGGTTTCTGTGCACCTTTCCTTTATACACCCCAATGAACGTGGAACTGAGCGCACGTGAGACACCTCCCCTGACACACCTCCCCTGACACACCTCCCCTGACACACCTCCCCTGACACACCTCCATTTAAATCTGCAAAATAGATATATATATGTCCAGCGTGTGAGATTCTCCTCAGATTGTCCTCTCTGTGGGATCAGAAATGATTTTTAGATGCAGGAAATAAATACATTAAATGGAGAATGAGTGAGAAAACTGTCTAAATAAGTAGTGGAGTGTAAAAAATGAGTTGGCCACATGCAAAGGTGTGTGTGGGTGTTGGTGTTAGCGCGTGTGAAGCTGCTGTCTTCAGYGGTACATGAGGCTGAGAGACATTTCCACCTTTACACGTCTTTAATAAATGACTGTAAACACAGAGGAACTGATGAGTTTGGTAGAACTTAGAAAAAACATTTATTAAATAGTTGATGTGAAGACACAAGTCACAGAGCTGCGAGTTTCTGCCGCTGTGTGATTTATATTTTAGAATCATGAAGTCTCTCATTCAGCTGAATGGCTCAGCTCAGAACTACAGTAAAATACCTGATTGTAATTTGTTTGGTGTGATACAAAATAAAAAATAAAAACCCTGTCCTCAATTATTCTTATGGTGATATCAACCTGCAGAAATGTTGACATTGATCCATAAATTACACACAACCTTACTCAGCAACAAATCTATTGTCTGCGTCTTGTGGAGC